TTATAACCTTTTAAATGCTTCCTTATGTGCTCATCATTTTTGAGCAGAGTAAACCTGAACTCCTCAGATCACATGATGTTTCCCATTCATCTAAAATCAAATCTTTGTTTTCCTCAACAGACTTTTTTATTCTTCCTACTAACTTAAAAAGGAATATTTGGTTTAAAAAAAGTCAATTAATTATGTGTCATAATATAGAGTGATTTATGTGATGATTGCGACATCTTTGCAGTTGAATGAAATCACTTTTTTTATGTCTTGAGGATTTTTGTGTGATTTTTGACCTCAGAACATTTCTGGTCCAGTTGTTTTGTTTCAGACAGTGGTATTTTTAAAATTAAATATGTAATCAAAATGAATATTTTTTATTTATTATTTTGTTCCATTTTTATTTAGAAATTATGGTTTAAGGGATTGTTTTTATTCCATTAGGCAGTTCTTTAAACCGAGTTTCAAAAACTTTAGTTGTGGTTTGTTCACTTCACATAAATCAATAATGTACTTCTGAAACAATATCAGAACTTAAAATGACAAGATGTGTTCTCCTATATGGCTGCTTTTAAACCCTGAGAAACTCACTGCATCAGCCCCACCATGATGCTTTTAACTACAGCATCTGCCAAGTTAAATGAAGTTAGCTTTTTTTTTTTCTAGAAATTGCTATATTGTGGCAAACGAAATAAGTGAGAAAACATCCATAAGAAGTGATGATGAGTCTCACATCTGGCTTCTTCCACTCGAACATAATGAAGGCTTTGACAAAGTAAATCAAGAGTAGAAAACGCTGAGTGTCACAAAAAAATGTTACTGCAGCAGAGATTCCAGAGTTGCAGTTGATACAGACACCAAAGGAAAAGTCAGCAAGGCTTATTGCCAGTCACATGACAGCACAGCTCAGGGGCTTCACAGGCAAAATTAGATGATGAACCTCTGTGGAAGTTATAGGTGAAGGTAAGCAACAATAAAAGAATGAATCCGCAATACAGGGAATATGGGGAAAATCTTCGCTTGCTGACTTCGTTTTGTCAGCAGCTCCGTGTTTAGTAAGCATTTCCCTCATTAGCTTATTCTTCTCCCACTTTTCTTTTCTATTCTTTTTTTTACTTTGCTGCTATTTTTTGCTTATTATGCAGTGGCCTAGTTAGCTGGTGTTTCTCATCATCACAGCACAGATGCTGAAAATAAAGAGGACTCCCTCGGTGATGATACAAGGGGAGAAATGTTGCAGAGGAAGCAACGAGGACTGAGATCAGCAGCAGCAGGGCCTGGAGTTTTTATTTTATTTTATTCATTTATTATTACTTTTTTTGCCTTTTTTTTAGGCAAGAACAAAGAGGACTCTCACATTCATATCCATCTGGTTTCACAACTCCCACCCCATCAGTCACTCAAACACTTCACCCTGGATGCCCACTGCTATGCACAACAAACCAAATGAAACTTCAAATTCCAGACAGCAGCGGAGTGCCGGCAGTGGATGTGGTCAGAGTAAACAGTAAGACAAAAAAAAGAAAGAAAAGTGAGTGGGCAACAAGAGCAGAAGAGAGGATTTCTTTGCTCCACAATATTTACTGCAAAAAAAAACACCAACTAAACTTCTGTGTGGCAGCTGCTTCACAGTGTGAAAAAAAATGCCATAGCTGTGTAAAATGAGTCCCTGGTCTGTGGGAAAGTAAGTCATAAAAGTCGTCTTTGGGTTTCCACTGCATTGAAATGAATAGAATAAATAAAATATACCACTCCCTCATCCTGACTGCCTCTCTATTAGTGCCAGCATACAGCTCAGCACCCTGAAGATCCCCTCTGTGACTTTTCTCTTCCCTCCCTGAGAGCAAAATAAATCACCTCAGACCACAGTTCTGTGTGATCAAGGCTCTGGGACACCGTAGGGAGCTGGACACCCCCAGCTCTAACTATCTCCACTCTACGTTCACAAACAGAGGCAATCAGGAAGCTGTGAACCTAACACCGCTCTTCCCGCTGTTCCTCTTTAGTTCTCCGTACACATCCCTGTGGGGTTTTTTTTAAGGCGTCGTGCTCTACACAAACTCAGGTCCTGCCTTCGGGCAAAAACAGATCAGTTTTTGTGTCAGCTAAAGATTATTTGAAAATATTCAGATATTTTACATCATTTTCAAGAAAATGTACTTTGTATTGGCATTCACTCCTCAGACTCCTCATATGGAGAGTTTACTCTTCTGTGGTCAGAACGAAAATATCATTTAATCAAATGAACAGCAACAATGTGCAACAGCTTCATTTCACATGTCTACACTACAAAAAATATTTTGAATAATTTAAGTAGTGTTTTTAATGTAACTGATCATTTAACACTTTTAAACCCATGTGTGCTGACTGTTACTGACATCTAATCCTTACAGTTATTGATATTTTATGACTATGACCGTTTCCTGCTCCAACATTAGCTGTAATCTTGTTTTAATAGTGTCTGGATTGAATTTTTCTGTTTTTATAGCTCCTGTTTCTACTGCTTCAGTTTGAGTGAAATGCATTTTCTTGCAGGTGAAACAACAGCAACACTTTTAAAACTGAACTTGATAAAAACAAAGTTTTTAACCACTAAAAACACAAAATTCTTAATTAAATAAATAAATAAATATAATATAAAAACATGTTCATATAAATACTATACTTCAGTAAAATGTTGTGCTTCAAGAGTACTTATTTTATTTAATTTTTTTTATCAGGCTAAGAAAAATGTCTAATTATTCTCAGGACTTCTTTGTCTATCAGCTTCATTGACTATTTTGTGGGATTCAGGGATGTTCCCACCTCCAGCCAAGCTGTTAGTTTGGCAAACAAAATAGTATTTATGCACTTTTCTTTGGATTAAAGTGCATATTGGTTCACTCCAAATGAAATATACTGAAGCGTGGGACAGAAAAAAAATATTAGATTTTTTTTAATAATAAAGTGAACACTTCTAAACCACACAGTACAATGACATGTTCACCTGAAACTTGACAGTGATGTAATGTTAATGTCAATGGGTTTGAAA